GTGTAGTGTCCCTAAAACCACTTATGTGCATATAATCAATCCCTTGAAGCTCCTCTTAGATGAAAAACTAAATAATATGTGCTAAGCACTTGTGAGTTGCATCCTCACAAGTTGGATTTTCTAGGTGAGTGATAAAAAAATTAACTGCAATGACAACAGAAAGGATTTTAAGTAGTTCCTTAATCCTGATTTCACATCAGCAAGAGCTTGAAGTGCATTTTATGACTAAATTCCATCTAAGCACTCTGTTGGGATTTACAGGGATATGCACTGAGGATGTGATTTCTTCTGTTATCTGCAATGCATGAATGTGGAGTTACTTAATGTTTTCATCCAAGGTGTGCACAATGTGAATCATACATTTTCCTATTTATATGCAAGTGGGAATCCAGTGCCAGAAAAATGTTACTCATTATTTTTTTATCACTAGGTCATCTAAGAAACACAAGGGAAATTCTAAGAAACCTGAGGAAAAAAGTGTAAATTAAGCCCCTGCTTCCTTTTATCCTCTCAGGAACCTCCCACAATGCAGAGCAGCCCTCATGCTCAGGCTGTAAATTCCATGCTTAGATGAGAAGCCCCATCTCCTTCTCAATAAAGCCTCCACTAGGGCATGGTTGTCCTGGTGCTGCTCTTCTGCCTTGTGACATTTCCAAACTCTATGTGTTTCAGGGTTTCAGAAAAGAGATGCAGGCATGTCTTCTGTGGGATACATGTATCATGATGCTTGTACCTGTTCCCAGGTTCCCTGTCCCAGGTTCAGCTGAAGGAGTAAGGACCTGATCTAGTACAGCCCTCACAGACCCTGTCCCTCACCTGAACTATCTCTATATTCTCATTATCTAGTCATGGTGTAAGCTGGGTCTGTCTGAAGTGGATGTGAAGAATCTGGAGTGGTGGAAGCACAAATTATAATTCTGATCTCAAATCCCAAGTCAACATCAGCAGGGACACCTCCTGTTGCAAGTATTCTAATTGTACTTAATGATAAAGAGCCTAAGTCAGCTACCAGAGGCAAAAACTGAAGGATCAGAAAAGCAGAGTATTCAGCCACTAGAGAGTTTTCACCACTACCAATGCACAAACCAAATGGGGAAGGTCCTGTCTCTACCAAGCCTCTGACTCAATGCTGTCTCTCCAAAACCTCAGACCGCCTCTCAGACTGAAACCTCAGACTTCATCTGAGCTCTTGTCTCCTCCTGTCTTATTTTCCACTCTCTGCCCACGCATTGAAACCAGTCCCTGCTACCCTAGTGCTGGGATTAAAGGCATACGAGTCCAGGTGCTGGGATCACCTTTGTGTGAGCTCCATTTCTGTTTTACACAGATTAAATCTCTTGTATCCCAGTGTAGTATTGCACTCACAGAGATCTGTCCACCTCTCTCTTCCTAGTGCTGGATTTACAGGTGTGTGCCACCATTGCCTGACATCTATGGCTATCTAGTGACTTGGTTCTGCACTCTGGTCTTCAGGAAGCTTTATTTGTTAGATCACAAACAAAATATCACTTCACCTCCAAGAGCAATGTTTTCATAAAACTGAACAATCTACAAACTTTGAACACAGCCATGAATTACTGTGCCAGAGACACAGGGAACTCCAGTGTGAGCTTGGACAGGAACCTCTCTACTCAGACCAGCAGGGGATGCTGAGGACGAACGAGAACTCTGAATACCAGAGATGGTGACTTCAGAAACTAGGAACTTCAGAAATATGCTTCAATTATACCTGTTTGATGCCATAACCTTTTTTTTCTTCTTTTACACAAATAAATACTCTAGAGTACACTTTACTTGTCATAGCCTATTAATCTTGCTTTTTAATTACACACCAATCATCTGTGTTACATCACAATATTTTAGGATGTTTAATTGCTTCTTGTTAGACAAACAGCACATTAATTTTATATATTCCATATATACATTTCATCAAATATACATATATTTATAAATATATAAATGTATACACATATACAATATATATGTAATATTATATATATAATTAGTAGTGTGAATTGCAAAAGTTGTTGATTGCCAATTTTATAATACATACTTAGAAATTTTGAATAATCTTTCATTCATCCTCTTTATTTTGAAACTCGTGATAAAGAAACCACAACTGCCCCGAATTGATGTTAATTTCCAGTTACTTTAGAAAATGAACCATCACCATTTTTTTTTACTTTTAATCTAATAGGACCTTATAAAAGTATACAGTTGTTATAACTGTTGCAAAATTCTATTTTTGAACATTAGCATTTTGGTAAAAATTAGCTTGAACTTCAAAATCTAAGCAAATGATTCCTCTATAGGCATATTGTGCAACTCAGACCCACAAATTTCTCAGCCACAGTTAAGCACATCCCAACAGACATCACCCCTAGTTCCTGGTTCATATCTCTTTAGACTTTCTCATAGACAACTGAGTTCTGTGATTTTAAGTTTGTGCTTTTGTTGCTCCAAAAATTACTCCTCTGTACTCTCTGTTGTTAGAGACATGAAGAACAGATGTCTCATTTTTGAGCTTGACAAGTGTCTTCAGAGAAGCCATGTTGGCTGTGAGCTCCATGTTAATGAATCCCAGACTTGGAGCAGATTAATAAAGGAAAAGTGAATCTTTTCACCTGAGGCTGAGGCTTCTCCAGAAATTCAGGCAGTGATACCAATAGTGAGTGATGAAGCTTTGGAGACCACATTGACTATTTTCTTAGAATCCTGACAGCAGAACACATAACTGTGAATTGAATAACTCCACACTATGTTGAACTCAAAGATTCCATTTTTGTATTTTCCAGGGTCAGTGTGAGGATCACCTTACATGGTTGTTCCTGAAATGAATGAATAGGGTAAAAGTTTAATGAGTTTGTTGGACTTAAAATATATCAGGACCAATACCTCTAATCTAATCCCAGGTTTTTACTTTTGACCTAGGTTATCCAGAACTTTTTATGGAGAGAGTACAAATATGAATTAAAAGACTTCACATATTCATAATAAGGTAAATAAATTCTTAAACAAAGGCACAGGCAAAATTTTTCCTCTGGAGTAGAAAAGAAGTAACAATTGTTTATAGAAATGCTCTTGAATTTCTCTTCTCTTCAGTATGTCCTCTGATTCGTTATAGATGATTTTAAAGAAGAGGGATACCTAAGTGATACATATGCATTATCTAACATCAGAATGGCTATTCCTGCAGCATGAGCCATGAAAGGGTGGGGAAATAATGGTATGTTTTTCCCCTAATTCTGATTGATGATGGAATATTGTCATCTTAGAAGAAAGTAACAGCTAACCAAATGTGAAAAGATATTTTACAAATTATATATAGGATTATCTGCAAATAGATTTTTCATACATAATTGAAGGACCCCACCAATTCTTAGCTGGATGGGAAGATGGTCCCAGATAAAGTTGCCTGCCAAATTATTTGATATTTACCAATATTCCTTAATCATTTGCTTTCTGGATTTTTGTTTTAAGCTTCAGCTATACAGTTTTTACTAATCTTCTTTATTCCTTCTGTTTATGATCCCTACATGAAATGTTTTCCACCCAGCTTCTCCCACATCTTCCAAACATTGGTCCTTACCAACCTTATACTTACTTAAGCACAGTTAATGATGCTCATATCTACATGTATGTGAACCCAAGCACTGCCGCATAGGAAACATACTAGTGACCATACTCTCATAAAAGAGTGACTATATCACTTGTCCAGAAAAAATATATTTCCAGCTTCTCCTCAGTAAGAAGTAGGACCAAGGAATTTCAGCCCTATCTCTACCAGGGTTTTGGCCCTATTTGGGTTATACAGACAATAACAACCATTATGAGTTCATGATTGTGATATTCATGTCATGTCCAGAAGACAGCATTTCACAGCACCCTTCCCTGGGCTCCACACATTACAATCTTCCAACATCCCCTTCATTAGTGGTCTTTGAGCCTTGGAGGAATTTGAATGATACTGAAAATCTTACGTCACACAACTTATTGAAGACTGGGAAGGACAGTTTCTGGCTTATAGAGAATACAGACTGTTCGTTTGAGACTCTGTGTATTTGGTGTTCTGGCATCTGCTGTGTAGGCTTGAAACTAGAATGAAAGTCAAGACAAGAAAAGATCTCTTAAGTGAAGGATAAGAGGTAAAAACACAGGGCAACACAATGGTTTTCAAAGAAAAAGCTGGGTGTATTGAGAAAAAGGGACTGAGTGGGTAGAAAGCAAAGCACGAGAGTTTGGGAAAATAGAAACAAAGCCTTCTAAAAATACAAAATTGATGTAAAAGTTTTGTGTTTGGTAATAGACACTTGTTAAATGTCCCCATTATGATGAAAATATAAATACTCAGAAATAAATGTGATCTAAGACAACATGAAGCCAGCCATGTATTGCCTGGTATTGAGTTGGGATTGGCAGAGTGGGAAGAACAAAGTAATCATAGGGAGAACTTCAGGATGCAAACAACTAAGTGCTGCAAATACAAATATCTCTCCACTGAGAGGAAGACAGGCAGAACAAAGAATGTATCATTTGCCAAAGTCCATGGGGCTTTTGATAGCACCTCTCAGAACTGAGTAGAATTCCGAAAAGTTTCAAGTGTTCCTGCCAGGATTCACCTCAGGAAGAAGCCATGTTCAGCAGAGACAGAGGGACAGACAATACTTATATCTAGAAACACAGCTATGTGTGGAGCTTTTCTATTTCACATTGATCCAAAAGAGGTGGACGGTGTGGAAAGACAACATTTTCTATGCATATAGTGAGAAGAGAACTAAATAAAATGTGGTGAATATATAACAAGGATATTATGTATACAGAGCTACATTAGTGCTTCATATTCTATAACTGTCATCAGTGTGTATGACGTCTTATATCTGCTCTGAGTAGTGCCTTCTGGCCAGGTACAACTACAGAGCCTGATATGGCAGAAAGATATGCAAATAAGGCTTCTTTTGCTTATAAAAACCAGCCCTGTCTTGTCCCTTCAGCTCTGGCAGAGGAGATCAGCCTTGGATTCCCAAGTCCTCCCATTCAGTGGTCAGCACTGAACAGGTCACTCACCATGGATTTAGGGCTCATATTGGTTTTCTTTGTCCTTATTTTAAAAGGTAATTCATAAAGATGAGATGTTGTGCACTGTGTGTACATGGAAAAGAGAAATATATCTTCTATGTCAGTTTTCTAACCAGAATTGTGTGTGTTTACAGGTGTCCACTGTGAGGTGCAATTGCTGGAGTCTGGAGGAGACATAGTGCAGCCTGGAAAGTCCCTGAAACTCTTCTGTGCAGCCTCTGGATTCACCTTCAGTAGTCATGCAATGGCCTGGGTCCGCCAGGCTCCCGAGAAGGGGCTGGAGTGGGTGGCAACCATTATTTACGATGGTAGTGTCACCTACTATACCGATGCAGTGAAGGGCCGGTTCACAATCTCCAGAGACAATGCCAAGAACACTCTGTACCTGGAAATGAGCAGTCTGAGGTCAGAGGACACAGCCATGTATTACTGTACAAGAGACACAGTGAGTGAATGTTACTGTGGACTCAGACAAAAACATCCCTGTGGGGGAACACAGGGCCAGCAGGGGGCTCTGAGAGCACTTAGAAATCTGGGTCACAGAAGAGCCTGCTCAGAGAAACATGAAAGACTGGACTTATTTGTGTCTGCACTATCTCTCCATATCTCACTTAGGGTTTTTCTCTACAAATATAGTGAGTATTAATCCTTGAATGTCAATTGTTTATTCAAATTCATGTTTTCTGTTGTGTTGTGTGTTCCTCCCTGTTACCCTTTATCTCTCAGTCTACCTGTCTCTGTCTCAATATCTCTCACTCTTTCTCTTTCACTACTCTCTCTCTCTCTCTCTCTCTCTCTCTGTCTCTCTCTCTCTCTCTCTCTGTGTGTGTGTGTGTGTGTGTGTGTGTGTGCTAACATATGATGCATTTCTCTAGCAATCTGCACCACTTGTTTTGAAACAAATCCTATCTGTGGGCCTGAATCTCAATGACTGGATTATCTGATTTTCCAGTGAGTCCCAGTGGTTGTTCAGTTTCCACATACCCTATACAGTATACCTGGTTTGCTGCCACACACATTTCTTTCTCTATTATTATATTTTTTAAGTTATGAATTCTGAGTGCTATGTTTAGAACCAACTGAAGGGTTCTTGTGTGTCAAAAACTTGATTTTTGCAGTCCCGTTGTAGTTTCTTTTTAAATTTAGGATGTCCTTTACCTGAACAAAATGCAGACCATCACACTGAGATAGAGTGATCTTGTCTTTTGACATGCATCAGTTCCTTAAGAAGCCAAAAGTGATTGTAAACCCTACAAGATGCAGGCAGCTCAGACCCGCACGTGAGTCTAGAGGACTCTGTGTCATCTGTTTTTCTCCATGAGCACTATACTACCCAAACAGAAGTAAATACCCCTAATTTAAAAAGTGTATTTTAAAAAGTTCTCATCCAGTTCTGTGATTTAGCCCAATGGTCTAGTCTGTGTGTGGTTTATATGAGACCTTGATTCAAATGGAAATTTTTAATAATTATATTTCTTGTATTGAATAAATACTGTTGTTGACTCCTCACCCTGTTCCAGGTTATGGTTTCTGTTATCCAAGAGAATAGTTTAATTTTTGTTTCCAAGAAAAACACCTTTCTCTCTCTTCTCTATTCTGAGTCAGGAGGTTAACAGATAGCTCTAGGAACCCAGAGGAGAGGTGATGTTCTCATGAGTACACACTGTTCTGCCCTCCATGTTCTGATTGGGATGCTTTACCTTGAACAGGGCATATGGGAGGAGGGATAGCGTGAAGATAACATTTCTAACAACTACAGAAATGGATGTTAAACCAAAAGAATTAGTTGCCTGTAACCAATGATATGAGTGCATTTACCCAAGGAAAGAATAAGACCAAGAATTATAGGTATGGATGAGAAGGGATGCCTGTGCTATGGAAATGGAAATATGGTTCTACTAAGATATTCTGAAAACTCTGCGGGTCCCTCAGAAATTTGCACAAGATGCTGTGACCCTGCAATCTTGCTCCTGGAAGAACAGACAAAAGAAGCAAGTTAGTGCAGTAAATCAGGAAAGAAGGGAGGAGAGAAGAGAAAAGACATAGGAGTAGGAGAGGACAGAAAGGTAAAGGAGAGAGAGAAAGAGGGAAGAGGGTAAGTGAGGTAAATCAGTGTATTCACAGTACATTATAAATGATCATGGTGATTTGTTTTTAAGCAGAATGAATGACATAGTTGGAAAATTTTTTTTCAAATAGCATAGGATGTTAATATAT